TCTTTTTAACTTGATTGAAATTTTATACACATAATATATAGAAAGAAAAAAAAAAAATGAAGGTCACAAATCGAATAGAAGATGGTCAAAAAAAAAAATGTATAAATTTTTTGTGTAAAACGTTGAATGTGACATGCGACCCTAGTTTTCTTGTCAGGAATTGTTTCTAATCCTTCATCCTTATCTGAAATTATTAACGTCTAATACCAAGAACTAAAAATTGTCAAGAAAAAACGCTCGCACGCATATATAAATATATTGTAATCACAGAGATTAAAGATAAAATCTAACATTTGATTAAGGATGAATGAGTCTCTTTCACTCAACCACATCTTTAAAGTTATACAAAATTTCGCTTTAATTATGTGTAAAGTGACACTTTTAATCCATCACTAATAAATTTTATTAAAATTAACATCGCACTTCAAATTTTGAAATTATAGAAGAACATAATACTCATTTCATTGAGTTTTCTCAAATTCTATCAATTATATATATATATATATATATATATATATATATATATATATATATATATAGGCGGGTTCAGGTGCGGCAGTGTCTTACGGTGCGATTATTTCTTACGGTGCGGCAACACCAATAGTTCAACAAATATGCACCATCAACGTTATGAAAATACACCACACAAAACAGAGTAAACAGAGCCCTGCATCACCAAACACACACCATTAGGTGTGAGTAAAAACACCATACACTGTTCGGAAATACACCATTGGGGGTGGTGAGTTATATGGTGTATTTTTTTGAGTCTGTTGTGTATTTTGTGATGTTTTATTGCATTTCATTGTGGTGTGTTTTATTACACTGTTGGTGCATATTATTAACACTGTTGGTGTATTCTGGAATTTGACCGCACCACCGCACGGTAAGACCCCGCCGCATATGAGCGCTATTCTATATATATATATATATATATATATATATATATATATATATATATATATATATATATATATATAATATTGGTATTTGATCACATGAGAACAAATTATTTGCAGAAAACTAAAAACCAATCTCAACCTTACATATGAAAAAATTGGACAGATCATATCACATTTTTTTAATAAAAATGCAGTGACATTTTCATAATTATCACTAATTTCACAATGCAAACTTGAACACTAAAAATTGTACTTCTTGAAATTTTTTAGATTTGCACATTTAGTATTAAAAGATTGCACATACAAAAATACGAATGTGCATTGCACTTGGTTTCGATTTTAGATTTCAAATTTTTTATTTTATATGGTTTAGGATTCATTTTTGACTGCTTAGGTTTTAGCATTTACGATTTAGATTTAAAATTTAACTTTTTCAAAGTTGTTAAATACTGCATATTGCATATTTAAGTGTTAAATTTAGCTTTTTCAAAGTTGTTAAATTTGGCATTTACGATTGATTTTTAAAAGAGTTAATACCATCTGAGTTAGCATTTACGATTTTTAAAAGAGTTAAAAGAGTTAATACCAATGGTCCTTCAACTATTAAATTTTAACCAACCATGGTCCTTTCAAGAGGACTACGACTGGTTAAATTTCGAAACTTGAAGGACCATGGGTGGTTAACTTGGACCAAGAATGGTTAAATTTGAAAGTCGAAGGACTACGGATGGTCAATTTGAAAGTTTAGGACTAAACGTGGTAAAACCACTATACTCGAAGGATCTCATATGGTATTAACTCATTTTTAAAATTTATCTAAGTTTGCACATTTAGTTGTTAAATATTGCATATTTAAGTATTTAAGTATGTAAAGTGAAGTTGATGATTATTACAAAAATGCAACCGCATTAAAAAAAAAAATTAAAAAAAAAAAAAAAAAACCTGATCTGATCCGTCTAATTTTTACAAATGTAAGGCTGAGATTAGTTCTTAGTTTTCTCTTGGGACTGATTTCTCATGGGATCATAAGCGTCCTAGGAGAGAAATAAGAATTCATCGCAACCATCCATCTAAATAGAGAAGAAGATCTAACGGATCATAAATATTTGTTTTTAAAAATACAGTGGCATTTTTATAAATAATTCAAACTTTGAAGAGCAAGAAAATTTTGTTAAAAGTGCAAGTAACAGTTTTATATAGTGCACCTAATTGCAAGTAAAATGTATTAAAAGTGCAACAATATAATATACACCGAGCAACAATACTAAGTGCACATAATGGTTATCATTAGTTGCACCAAATATTAACATGAGTTAATTACTCAAATGGTCCCTTGGCTATATCGAAATTACCAATTTGGTCATTGACTATTTTTTTGACCAATTAAGTCCCTCAACTTTAAAAATCTTAACCAATTTGGTCCTCCGTTTGTTTGACCGTTAGTCAACCGTTAACTTGGGACCAAACTGGTAATTCGTTATAGTCAATGGACCATTTGGTAATTAACTTTAAGGGTGGGCAATTCGGTTCAGTTTTCTCGAACCGAACCGTACCAAACTAGTTAGATTCGATAATATACCAAACAACCGAACAGTAATAGATTCTTGTATACCGAATGGTTCGGTAAAAGCTCGAACCGAACTGAGTTGTTCGGTAAAAATCGAACCGAACCGAATACTGTTTGAACTTTGAATTGCTATTTTGTTATATATTAGATTTTGGATTAGGACTATGTAAACATCATAACACATAATATATAACTTTTGATAACAAACCATAAAGAAATCAAATAAAACATTTACAAGAGATACCCTGAGAATATGAGCTGAACGACAGAGCAAGCACCAAGAGACTTGGATTTACTTTTTATTTATTTATTTATTTATTTATTTATTTATTTATTTATTATTATTATTATTATTATTATTATTATTATTATTATTATTATTATTATATTTTTAAAAAAATCAAACGGTGTTCGGTTCGGTTCAATTTTTTACCGAACAATTCGGATCGGATCGGTTCTTTTATCGAACCGTTCGGTTGTTCGGTATATTACCGAACCAAACTAGTTCGATTCGGTTTGAGAAAACTGAACCGAATTGCCCACCCTTAAAGTTAATTACCAAAATGGTCCCTTGACTATAGCAAAATTATCAATTTGGTCCTAAGTTAACGGTTGACTAACGGTCAAACAAACAGAGGACCAAATTGGTTAAGATTTTTAAAGTTGAGGGACTTAATTGATCAAAAAAAATAGTCAAGGACCAAATTGATAATTTCACTATAGTCAAGGGACTATTTCAGTAATTAACTCTATTAACATTAAGTGCATCGTTGTGAAAAAACATTATCATTAAGTGCACCAATGTGAAAAGGAAAATTACTTGCGCTATTAAGTGTAAATAGTTGCACATTTAAGTGTTGTTACTTGCACATTTTACTTTCAAACTTGCATTTCTTACTTACACTTTTAACACATTTTACTTTCAAACTTGCATTTGTTACTTACACTTTTAACACATTTTACTTGCACACAAAATTAGAGGTATTTACAAAAATGTCATCGTGTTTTTAAAAAAAAAAAAAAAATTATATCTAATCCATTAATCTTTTCATATGGACGGCTCATATTAGTTCCTATTTCTCTCCTAGGCTAGACACCTTATATCGTGTATCCAGTACAATCTCAAAGTCAATGGGAATATTTTGAGTTTGTTCAGAGTACTCAAACTACTCAGTACAAACATAAAGGGTTTTCTAAAACTATTTAGCTTAGCTAGTACTCAATCGGTACTGAAAGTTATATTTTAGTGGTGACAGAGTGAAGTGTGAGAGCGTATCCTAGCACGAGGTATCGTCTCAAGGAGTAGACTGAAAAGGAATTGATCTTGAATAGTGAGTGACATGGCTAAAGCACAAAAGTGTATAGTGCTTGCAAGCTAGTCTGAATGAAGAAATGAGAATCATGTAAGAATAGTAAACACTAGAAAATGAACGATCAAACAAACAATGGTAAATGAAGTGACTCAGACCTAACCACTTTTGTAAAGATGCTAGAGTGTTTCTTAGGATAAAGACCATGTAATGCCTCAACAAGAGAACTAGAGAGAAGCAACGAAGTGTCAACGCCACTTTCGTGGACATTGGATTCTCAATTAGCTTTAAGTCACATTCTCATGGTGACTCAAACAAATTGATCGAACCAATTAATCAAACACATGGCGTTCTCGTCGCCTTCCAACTCTCTTTTCTCAAAGCGAAGTTGAACTAATGAGAGGTATGGCTATGGTGTTGCTCTATTCTCATAGTGACAATATCTTATCCATGTACCTCTTGCAAAATTGGATCCAAATTATGCAAAAGTTCATATAAACCAAAGTTCACAACTACAATCATCATTGAGTCATTATACTATCTGACATTGCAATTCAAATCACATAACATCTATAACAATTCACACATTCAAGAAAAGTCTGCACCCAACATGACACGTACAGTACACACGCCATATATGCTAAGCACGTTTACCGACGTTTTTTCTTTTTTTTTAACACAAGTACCCCCACCCTTCCCCTCTCATATATCCTCCACCCCTCCCAAAAAAAAAAAAAAAAAAAAAAAACAATGGGAATGCTACAACAAGGTTCAGATTAAATCATTTGCACTAACAACAATAAAATATTTTCAGATATATTTTAGTAATTAAAATATTACTCCCTAATTTAACTTGAGCACGTAAAAGGAGAAAAAGATACTCCGTAATATACATAAAATATATGTTAAATTAGGGATTGAAAACAGAGGGGAAAATGGAGATAATATACGAAAATGGCAAGCAGTACAAGGTTACAGTGGAGTGGTTGTATGTATGTTGTACTACTACTACGTTAAACCAATCTTACTATTGCCTCTGAATGCGTGCATTCATTCAACGTACAACCCCTTGGATGCGTGAGAAAAGCGAGTTAGAGATTACATCATTGTCATCATTATTGTTTTCAAAAAAGAAAATCATTATTATTATTCATACCATTGAAAGCTGACAAAACACAGATCAGTGCTATGTTTTGCATAAAAAGAGGTTTCACTCACACTTCTTCATTTCCATTTTAACATTTTCTCTTTCTTTCTTTCTTTCTGGGTTTCTCTCTCCCCTTTTCTCTCTGTAATTTTCTTGATGATTTGATGAAGAGCACGAGGAGTTTAGGAATGGAAGCTACTGAGTTTTAGTACAGTCTTGGTAGCATTTTCTTTCTGTTTTTCTGGGGATTTCTGACTGAAAAAAGAAAGCTTTTTTTTTTTTTTTGTTTTTTAATCATCTTCTTCTTCTTCCCCAAAGGGTGGACTTTTTTCTGGTTTTCTTGGTCTTTCATGGAGGCTCCATTTCTGGTAAATAAATAAAGCTTTTGTTGTTTTGTTAGAAAACCTGGGAAATTTTTTGTGTTAATTAAGGTTGTTTGTTTGGGTTTTCAGGGGTATGGTTTTGATTTAATCTAAGAGGAGAGAAAAGGGATTGGAATGCTGAGGAGCAGATCGAGAAAAGCAGTGAGTAGCAAGAAGCAAGGATTCATGGCGGCTGAGCAGCAGACATGTGTACCACCGTCTTCTCCGACAAAGCCCGTTTCGTCGTTTTTGGGTTCTCCGAGGATCTTCAATGGGCTTCTGGGGAGGACTCTGTCGGGATCGGAGAACAATGGCGGCGGCGGCGGCGGGATGAGCATAAGCCCGACCTCCATTCTTGACGGCAAGCAGATTCTCAATCTGGCCCACCCTTTCGGGTATGATAGAAGCCCGAGCCCGACTCGGAACGCCAACCCACTGCCCGATTCCTTGGGAGTCGGGCTGGCAATCATTGACTCATCACCCAGAGAAGAAAACAGGAGTGTTCTGTTCGGGTCAAAGCTGAGAGTTCAAATCCCGTCTCTGATTTCTCCGGTGGAGTCCCCCAAGTCTCCGGCGGATTTCGGGATCAAGACTCCCCGGAATCCGCCATTGCTGAGCTGTTGCGCTCAGCCCAAAGAGTCCCCTCCGGTGGAGAATCTCTCCCTGAGCGAGATGGAGCTGTCGGAGGACTACACATGCGTGATCACCCACGGCCCGAACCCGAAAACCACACACATATTCGACAACTGCGTGGTGGAGAGCTGCTGTGGTGTGATGAAGCCATCAGAACTGAGAAGGGAGAATGCTTCTTCTTCTTCTTCCCCTGCAACCTCTCCTCCACTGAGTTTTCTGAGGTTCTGCCATGGCTGTGAAGTCAATCTTGGAGGTGGCAAAGACATCTACATGTATAGGTAAGAGTGAAGGATATTTGTTCCCACCAGCTTAGCTCAATGGTTCGGCAATCAGTATTTAGGAGACAGTAAAGTTTGAACCTCACGGTGGCAGTGTGTGAATTATGCCTAAAGGGGACAGATCTTTTGTGCGTAGAAACATTTAGCTTTGTCTGTTTTACATCCTCCTAAATGTTCTGTCGGACTCTTGGGATTCGGGATTAAACGTTTTGGGAGAAGAGTGAAGGGGATATGGTTTCTTGTGTTTTGGTTGAAATGGGGGTATCATTGGGTTTCAATCATTGATCCAAAACCTTCCACTTTCATATTCCTAATAATGGCATTTGATCAGGTCACTACACATGGGGGGCCACTTTGTCCTACCTTATAATTACAAATCAGAATTAAAGTAGTATTCAAATTCCTTATCTTGACTCAATGTGATCAACTTGAGGCCACAACTATTCAAAATGATGTGTTCTATCTCAACTAAGTCTAAACGGGTAGTTAAGGTGTAATTTTATTATTATTATTATTACAGGTTTTGATGTTATTCCTATTGTGTATAGGGGGGAGAGAGCGTTTTGCAGCGAAGAATGCCGCAGCCAAGAGATGGGTTTGGAGATGGAAGAAAAGAAGAATGCCCTCTGAGAGTTTCTGATACAAGAAGAGGGAATTTAGCATCTTTTAAAGTTTAGATGCTGTTTTTTAAGCTTTTTCCCAGATTTGACTTGTGATCAGCCGAAAGATGACATGACGCTGATCAAGAATTGCACCATTTAGTGATATGATATATATATATATAATAATAATGTTAATTGTTTTCTAGTTTCAGTCTATATTGTATATTGTATTCCCTTTAATGAAACTGTTTGATTTGTTTATTTTATTCAGTGGCTTACGTTGTAACAGTAGCAATTCTGGCAATGAATAGGTAATGCAATCAATGATGATGCCTATTAAATGTTCATTGCTTCTGGTGAAGAAAAATTGCAACCGATAAAATTTGCAGGGAGTGTGTAATAACATCTCAAACAAACCACTACACACCATTTAGAGAAGAACACAGTCAAACGACAAAAACATTCATTTTTAACAAAAGACAGACAAAGCATTACCCATATGACTACTTAGGGATTGAGTACTTGTGACTTGTGAAGTGAGTGCATGACCAATTACAGGACATTACACATAATCGCAGCTTGTTACCATACCATACGGGGAGTAACCAAATTACAGACACCACTAGAAATGGAATAAAATAACCCACAGACGAACACCGCCAGCTAGAACAAGAACAAGAACGCATACAGCTAGGTTCAGAAACAACCTTTCTTCCATTCGTTCCGCCATATAAGGGCTGATTCATGAAAATGAGAAGACAAAAAATTTCAGTTCATGAGCATTACAGCATTAAATGGAACTGTAAGCAAAATAAAAGGAAAACGTTGAACACTCACCTTGTGAACAGCAGCTTGGTATAATCAACTATTCTCCAGAGAAAACATGGATCCTTGGAATTGAAGTGTGGATAACATGATTAGCAGAGAGAACTCAGCTAACAACAAAAGAACACGAGCAGAGGTGGATGTAGCCAACTTGGCTTTCCCCTTCCCATTTTCTTATAAAAAACCAGAAACATGGCGAAGGAGAAAGCATCTTCTACTAGTAAAGTATAAAACTGAAACCTATCTAAACTAAAGAAAGAAGATAAGAATGTAAAGAGGAAAAAAGGACAACTTGGGGATTGAAGGACAAGAAGTTGGAATGAAACAGTTCTCTAAATAGCCTATTCAGTTAGCATATAAGCTAAAGTTACAGACAGGCAATTCATCATTAAACCGGGGGAAGTTGAGGTAAGTCCAGGAACAAAGGGCTAGGTTATGGTTACAATGACGGAAATTCCTAAACAAGGTGAAACCTATTCAAAGTCAGGGATTTTGGGTATATGTACAATATATGTGAGAATAAAATCTAACTGAAGAAGAGGAAATCAGAGATGGAGATTTTTGACAGGAGAGTACTCAAGGATTAGGCATTCAGCATGCAAATCTGCAGGTATGATGAAATCTCCATTAAGTTGGGTCAAAAGGACTGCAAACTATAAATGCTTTATAATAGCAGATCACCACTCGTGAGTTTCAGATTCTGATTTCACTTCACTACTCTTAATACCCGTCCAAATTGTAACATCCAAGTAAATAGACCATTCAACCAATCTGGAGATAGCTGACCAACCAACCAACCAACCATTCAAACCCTTGAACCACCTTCAACCATATAGCCAACCATAGCTGTTCTTGCAAGCCTTTTTTTAAATCTTTTCTGTTTCCTGACAGGTATGCTCTTGCCCTTGCACAACCACTTACAAAAACTGAACAACATACTAGAAGTAGTCACCATAGAACTGGTTTATTCACCATATATATACAATCTACCACTAACCCCTTAGGAAACTAGATCCTTTCCCTATATAAAGGAGGTCTAGTTTCCTCCAGTAAACCTTAATCATCAGTAATGTCAAGATTGAGAATACGACGAAGACACTTCGTCGCAGAGTCATCAAGGTCAAACAAATCTCCCGGAGAAGGGCTGCGTTCCCTGGTAGGGGAAGCTGGTGCAGATGCAGCAATTGGACAAAAATCATCAATAGCAGAAGCCGAGGTTGGTAACTCAAGTGAAACAGTCCTTTTAGGCTTCAAAGAAAACTTGGGCATAGGCAAAGAACTAGGAGGAGGTGAGTTTGAATACGTAGGACCAGCCCAGCGCTCCGAGAAATGAACACCCTCGCTGAAAGAACTACCCTTTCTAGAACTGGCACCCACTTTGAGGTTAATTGGTATTGCACTACTTCTGACAGATCTTATCTTGTTTTTCTGATCTTCAGACTGAGAATTAACTGAGGGAGAAGGTGTCTTAGGTGAAAAGGAAGCAGAAGCGGATCGAGATCGCTTGGTGATCGGGGTGGAATAAGACTTGAGCGGGGTTGGGAGTATACCCGATCCAGTCTGGAAAGTCCGGCAATTAATCTCCCGGAAGCTCCCAGAAGGAGGGGATCCAAAGGATCCAAACCGAACAGGGCCATGGCCCTTAGATTTGTTATAGTACTGATTCCTATGCTGAGCAACTACAACAAGCGTCTCCATCTGAGTCAAACCACTGAGTCAACCCGGCTCCTACCCTGAATTCACAAAATACCCCTAACTCACTTGTCCAAACTTGAAGATATCTAGAGGAAGTGATAAAAAACGAACTGGACACAAAAAGGGAGCACTATATCTCTATATCAACACAAGATCTGCAATTAGGAGGTTCAGAAATGCTACTACATAACACTAGATTTTAGATCTCCACCATAACCACCATATTCTCAGCAGATCAGCATCACCTTCATCGATCATATAAGTTCGTATGAAAATATCTACAAGTACCACCACACTCTTCAGTTTCTTCAGATCTATACATACAAAAAAACATACGCAAAGCAATCAACGATACTAGCTTCAACTAATCAAGTAACTCAGTTACCAAAAACAGCTAAAACTTCCATTTCACCAAACAGATATTTCACTTTTCGAGAAAGTTGGAAACGAAAACTCACCTGATGAATCAGAACAACAGTATACAGCGAAACGCGAAGGTAAACGAGCGAAGATCCCTGGCCTTCAACTGCGACTGTGTGCGAGTGAGATTTCTCTCTTCTTCTTCTTCCCTCTTTGAATCTCACTTTCTCACTCTACGTTCGTATATGTATGTATAGACGGAAGATTTTTTGGTGTGAATAATTTCAAAACGCCATTGGAAGGAAGCAAAGCGTCAGAGCTTTTTAGAAAAAGGAAAAACAAAAACCAGAATCCACGGATCTGAAACCACTATCAATCGTATTTAAATCCGCATTATAGCTCACATCACTGTGTGTGCCCTCGAGCCGGGTCGTTGCATTTTTTGCCCCCTAATATGCCGCGTAATTACGGACATGCCATGCGTAGTTTTCGGACCATTTTCATCCCCACTCCCATACGTGCCCACGTGGTGAACTGTTGATATCATTAAAATCCATTTATATTTCGTAATTTATTTTCTCAAATTAATATCATCTGAATCTTCCGTGTATTAGTGTATAGTTATTTTATCATGCTTTTGTGATTTTTAATTTTTAAAATATTACTATCTATGATTTAAGTTAATCACTCGTAATTCTTTAACTATCAAATTTTAACCAATAATATATAGAGCATTATTCTTAACAAAAAAGTAAATAATATACTATTATATATAAAAATTCTCAAAAAAATAGTTTAGTTAATAGTTGGTAATTATTTGTTATGAAAGTTTTAGAGATTAAACCTTGCTCATTACACTATTTGCTATAAGTCTATAACTCCAAATACATATTAAATATATATTTATATTTTAGTTTTATCTTTCCTTATGACCTTAACACACCTTAAATATTTGTTTATATTTTAATTTATCTTTCTCTTACACATTTTTAACATATATTTATCTTTTAATGTTATCTACTCATTAGAACTAAAAGTGTGATTTGTGAGATTTATTCATAATTATAATTGTATATTAATTGTGAAATTTATAATGTGTTATATGTGATAACAATTATTTAAAGTGATTACTTAATTGATACGAAATATGTTTTATAGTTCAATTATGAAAAATATTTCAAAATAAAAATTAAACTAACTAGTCAATGTAATTTAGAAGTTTCAAATGTATGTCATCATATTTAAATTATTCTAGAAATAGTTAGATTTTATCTAATTAAAAATAAAAGTATTTACGAATACCATATTAATAGAGGTGAGATATAGTTTATTTCAATCATTAAATATTTTACTATAAAATATTTTTATTTTTCACTCACACTAAACAAAATTTCTAGATCTATCCTTGATGGCACGTAACTATTTTATTAAAAAATAATTATTAAGATATTTTGATGGGATTATTCATATGATATGTTATAGTAGTTAAATTTTAAAAATATAGAATTTGAAAATAAATAAGTGAATGCACCATATTACTTTATTCTCTTCTTTTACTTTGAACTTTGAAGAATGATGATTAGATTTTGAATAGAAATAACTTTCCAGGCTTTTTCTTTGTGTACATTATTTCCCTAATTTATACTAAAATATACAATTTTTGTTGTTTCATATATTGGGAATATATTTTTAATGCTGATAGTATTGAGTAAATCTATATATATATATATATATATATATATATATATATATATATATATATATATATATATATATATATATATATATATATATATATATAGAGGTCATGTTTGGCAACATAGTCTGTTTATCAGTTAATTTTAGTTTATTTGATAATTATTAACTGTTTGACTTGGTTAAACATCTAATATAAGTATTTGATTAATTAGCTTTTTGTAACACTTATTGCTCCAAAATGTTAAAATTTAAAAACATGTTCGAGACAACTTTTTCACTCAGTTTTTTTGGGGGAAAAAAAAACATTTTGCTTGTAATCAGCTATCAGCTAACAGCTAATTTACCAAACATATTTCTACCAAGTGTTGTTTCTCTTATGCCGGTTGTTTTATCGATGAAATAAGAGAGTATCAAAGACACTTTGAAGTAGTGTCTATCAGATTTATTCCAAGATCAGTAAATAAGGTTGACCACGCTTTAGCAAGGGTTGCGCGTTCACAAACTGATCCTTTCATGTGTTTTTTTTCTATTCCTAGTTGTATTCAACATTTGATTTGATAAAAGTTCGTTCCTTTGGTTTTCAAAGAAAAAAACTAACAACTATTTATCAAACATCCCATGATATATTCAGTTGTATTTGATATTATTAACAATAATATTTGGAACAAAAAAATACTGTACATAATTTCTGTCTCTACTTATACTACAATAGACTATTAAACGTATTAAAATAAATTTGGTTACTTCTGTTAGCGATCATAAGTTGGTTCTTTGCTTTGCGGGGTTGAGGAAGATGGTATAAAGGTATCTTGCTTGCTTACCCTTGCTATCAAGGATATATTTTGCATTTTGCCCTTCATTTTATTTATTTATTTTTGACTTCAATACTTTTAGTTTCAAAATTTTGTTTAATTTATAAGAAAGCTTGTATTTTTATCAAAATGTACGGGTGCAACTCGATTCTAGATGGCAACAAATTATAAAAGTTGATTGACTTAAACCGAGAGAGAAAGCTATCATAGGAAGTCATTGAAGTGATTGAACTTTGAATATTGTAGTTACTAAATGAACTTTTCTACCAATTTAGTTGGATTGACCCCTTTTGATTCATAAATTGATATATAAGTATTATCAAATTAGAGACAAACTTGGAGGCACTAAAAGCATCCATAATAGTAGAGTTTTTTTGGTTTTTGTAAGTGTGATTAGGAAAGAGAAAATGGGATGAAAAAAAAAAAACAAAACAAAACAATGATGAATTTATTATTTAAAAAAAAAAAAAAAAAGGTCTGGTAGATAGATAAACGCGCTCAACTAAAGTGTTGGCCTTCACGCGATATTCAATGATGAAATTAGGAGTTTTTGGCCTTCACGCGATGTTCAATGCTTATTACTTGTAGTGTTGGGACCCACACAAACCTACAATATCTCGATGCTTGCAGGAAGTTTGTTTTTCTTCTCTCTCCACATTATTACTCCTCCACCTCATCTTACCTTTCTTAAAATTCATGAAAAAACTTGTGATGCTCTACTGATGTAGATGCTCTAACAATTGAAGAGTTGAATTCGCTAATCATATTAACCAAATGATGATATTTTATACCAAAATAGACAATCAAGTGAGTGGAACATAATTCTCGCATTAGAAGATAACGAATAGCATAGGGATGAGTATTTTCCTTAATTGATACTTTATTGTCTAGACGATAAAATTTGACTTGTGAAGAGTATTAAATACATATTAAATGACCACACTTCAATCTTCTCCACGTCAAGAGTAATATTACTTTAATGTCACGGACCGTTTTCCGTGACCGTGTTAAGACCTAAGGAATGAATGGGTCAACTGGTTAGCTTGCCAAATGGATAAAGAGGCATCAATAGCATTAAGGGCATTCTGCCTTAGACGCTAAGGTCTAGTCGAGTCAGGCACGCCGAGTTTAGGGAGCACGTCGCTAGTCTTGGACTTAATTATGAGGAGGACCAATACGATTCGAATCGCACAACTGATCGGGAACTATTGCCATTTCTCTAATGAGCCCATGGCAGGGCGAAACCAGTTTGGCATGTATAAAAGTAAGGCAAATAAAAATATTAATTTTCTTAATTTTATCCGCTTTTAATAACAACCATTCAATAATAATAGTTTTATAACCTTACTTGTAACTACAATATAATTCTTTTTATCCTATTTATATTATTCAAAACGGTAATTGAATAACACAAGTGACATGTTCTTTGTCATCATAGCCAAGAGAGATAAAAAAACAATTTTTTTTTTTGGGTGGGGAGTGGGGGGGGGGGGGGGGGTAGCATCTTTATCCTTTTAAGTACAGGTACTTGTATACATTTGTGTTTATAGAAGAAGGATTGATGTTGAACGTGTAGTGCTGCCAACAAACAAGACATCATGTTTGCAACAATATTATACTGTCTGCCTCACCCTCCCCTTTTCTTCTTCTTTATCCTATATGCTATTAATTAATTGCACTTAACAGATATGTTTTGATTCTCACCTTTAATATATATACAATATACAATTATATATATGATGGGTTTTTTTTAATTCATTTTGACATTATAACTTTTTAAAGTTAAAGTCTTACTTTATATTAATGAGTGTAGGTGTTGTCATACTGTTGTTAAACGTTTAACAACACAATTACACCTGCATTTAGAGCAAATTCAATGAAAAAACTCCATTTGGATAATTTTGCCAAGTGGAATTTACATCTTTATGCTCGCCAATTGACAACCACCCTGATGCACCCAATGAGCGAGTTAGCCTTACGCAACCTCATCCTTTTATTTTTCTTCTATTCTCTGACTAAAATTAAATTATAATAAATGGTCTGATTTTTTCTAACTTATCACCTTTCACTTTCAAATCATCAAATTTGACTCAAAAATTGTATTAAAAAAAAAAAATCCCAAAGAATGGTTGCCCTTACCGATATAAAGTGAGGCTTTAACTTATGTCGAGTCAATTGTAGGAGCATTGTTGGTAATATTTAAATTTTTTTAAATAAGAAAAGATGGCCATTTAATAATTTACAATGGGGAAATTAAAGGAGCTTTAAGCCTTTAACTTTTGTGCAGTGTAAATGATCAATTGGAAGGCACTGACTGACCCATATATTGAATGATTGGAATTGTGATTATTAGGCAGCGTATAGTATGTGCTTTCACATCATCAAAAATTGGCTTGCTTTACTTAATATTATCATAAACAGATTTTGTTGCGATTAATATGGTTACATGCATGTGCTAGTGCAATAGCTAATCTTTTAGGTAAGATCTTCACCATTATGCATGTACGAATAGGGATAGCAATGGGTCGGGTGTGGGTCGGGGAGGGCAACATCCATCACCCGACCCACCTTATATTTTTTCCACCCATCCCCACCTCCAACCCGCATCGGGTGGACTTTTTCAGAACTCACCCCCACCCCCACCCCCACCGGGTGCGGGTGCCCACTACGGGTACCCACCACTTATTATCTTATTATGTTTTTCAAAAAATAATATTTAAATTATTTACACATAATAAAAAAATAAAATCCATTAGTGATACTAAAACATAAATAATGGAAATATTTAAATATAATAACAAAATTGTTAATTTTTAAAAATAAACTTAGTAGTTTTGATATAAAAAATAGTAAAAAGATACACGAAGTTATATAAACTATTATAAATAACTACATACTAGTACTTATTTTACTATTATATATATATATATATATATATATATATATATATATATATATATATATATATATACATACACACACATGGTGGATCGGGTGAGGTTCTAGGCGGGTCATGTACATAGAACCCGAATCCAACCCGACCCACCGCGGGTTTGCTTTTTTAAGACCCACCACCCACCATCACCCAAAAAAACCCGATCCATGCGGGTGGATTCGGGTGGATATCCACGGGTCGGATTGAAATTGCCATCCCTATGTACGAATATGCATTTTGCATAAAATATGTATTGTGTGTCATCAATTCATCACCACCCATCAATGCACAGAGCAATCACAATAGTGGTTTTTGTTCTGTTTTTTAGAAAAGTATAATTTATATAGAGGAAAGAGAAGGTTTAGGAACTGCCGGCAAAAAATTGATTTTTTGTAGGACCCACATAAGACAGAAAGTGGAAAAGAGATACACAATCACATGCGTGAACGGTACAAACCGCGCCCAAACGGACACATAAACTACACGCGCCGACTAGCGCATTAATTACTCTCTCTTTTTTTTTTCGAAAACCAATTACTCTTTTTTTTTTTTTTTGCATCAGACATGCTTTTTATTTTTTTCCTCTTTTTTCTTATTCTCTTTCCCTCATCTCTCCCCTAGTTAGTACCTCAAAAAAAAAAAATGCTATTGAGAAAATTTACTTTTCGTTATGGAGAAAAAATAGAAAACATAGTTATTAACATCTCTTCCACTTAAAAAAAAAAACAAAACAAAACAAAACAAAACTCTTGAAATGATTATAATTTTATATAAGAGTTAATAATCATTTTGGTCCCTCAAATTGTTTTTCAACTATCAATGTAGTTCCTAATTTTCAATTTCAACTAATTTAATTCTTGAATTGTTTAAAATTTTTAAAATTTTATCAATTAAAACCTTTTAAAGGTCAAAATGGTGATTTTTTACATTTTTTAAAATTTCGTCAATTTAGTCCCTTAAAAGATTTAATTGACAAAATTTTAAACAATCCGTAGATCAAATTAGTTGAAATTGAAAATTAAGCACTACATTGATAATTAAGAAACAATTATTAAATATTGATAGTATGTAACCATAAACATGGAAAATCTAAAAGTGGACTAGATAAACTCCACTCTTTTGTGCACAAGAAAATAAACCACACTAAAATGATCTTATATGACAAATTTAACTAAAATAATATTAGCAAAAATCTAACTCTAACTTTTTTGTATTAAAAGTACGCCTCACCCACTAAACTACCTCTTTAATTATCCGTGAGGGAATAAAGAACTCACCCCTTTTAAGATAAAATTAACCACTTTAAATGTGACTTACCTATAGTTAAGAGCAAAAATAGATTATACCACTATAATTATTTTTAAAAAAAAAAATTCAAAAGTGTCATTTTCCAATAAAAAATAAAAGAAAGACTTTAAAAAAACAAGTAAAAGAAAACAAACCCTAACAACATCAACATAAAGTAAAGGCATAGCAAGATTTTGTGTTATATATATTAATAATTAAAATTTATATTTCATAAAAATACATATGGGTTAAAATAAAATCAAGCATAATTCTTAAAATAAAATAAAATAAAAAAGAGAGAGGGCAACTGAGGACACTGCCAGACACCATAGTTAATACTTAACACAATGTCTGAGACTACAAAATCCCATGGAATTTGTCACTTAGAAAAACATTAAGCTTTGAATGCTAATGCCACTAAGATTACAGATCTCAATCAGCCATCAGAATCAGACATGTTACAAACTATTACTCTCTGCAACACTAAACAGAAACTGAAACCATACATTTTTCAATTGGAAAAACAAAAAAAGATGGTTGCAATTTAGCAGGCACTTGAGACCAGATGTTACCTTCAAAATAAGCGATTTCTTCCATCACCTTGCGCAGTTAGGTATTCACATTTTCTGCCAAGATCTATGTCGTTAAACGTAGGTTAGTCCAATGCATATTCCATCCTTGACATCTGTGCTGGCAAGCGAAGCCCTCCAGTAACAAATCTTTATGTACAAATTTTGCGATAAATCACAAGATCTCAGAGCTCAAAAAGCCGAAGCAAGTCACTGTGAGAAGCTACAACCTATTGGACCCTGAGGGCTTCCTTTGGTATGAAAGATTCGAAGCCAGTTTTCATGTCGGTTGCATCTTGCAAGAAGCCACGAGAGGAATTTACACAGGATTCGACAGGCTCAACAGTAACTACATTTTTGTTGAGATCGACCTCGGATGAAGCCTCTGTAATGTCACCATGAAAAGTACCTTGCATTAGACCTATAGGAACTTTGTGAATTTTGTAGATCCACAATACAAAAGTTCAATGCATTAAGTATATAAATTAAAATGCGTGATTAATGAAAATGATAATACAACAGTGAAATACCAGTAGATGTAATATGATCATCAGTATCTTGATGCTTCGGTATAGGTTTCTGAAGCATATCCGTGCCAGGGAAAACAATCATGCTCATGCGCGTCATTTCTCGTCTCTTTGACTCTTCAAGGGGTGTGAAACCAAAAATCTTTGTCCATGTTTCATTAAGTTCTGGTATAGCTGGTATAACCAGTTGCTCAACGCCAAGTGAACAAAGGGCCTGACAAGAGATTCAGGAATAAGAAAGCTATAAAACCAAAAAAAAAAACAGCAATTTATTACCAGAAGTCATCTTGAGAGTCAAATAAGCATTAAGGCTATTAAGCAAACAATTTAGATTACTTAAAGTTGAGCAATGCATCTACTTTAGAAGTAGCTATTACTGTTGTCCCTATGAGACAGTCATGTTTGAGAAAACACACAGATTGAGGAAACTATACTATGATTTTAATTAAATTGTTGCAACATTGCCTTTCATAAATGTGATACTGTTTCCATCTAAGTGGTATTGTTGGAAAACTTTCAAATATCATTAAATTTATTATGCCAAAATTTATGGGACATTCAAATATAGAATATTAGTATGTAGGGAAATCAAAATAATGCAATGCACCATCATGCTTATCACATAAACCTACTGTTTCAATTGCTCCAATGAGCCGACGGCACAACCCTTGGCGGCGATATTTGTACCTTGTACCAATAAATGGCATCTCAGCCAACTGACTCCCATGTAACCTATATACAGAGGAAGCATCAAGAATTAGGATAAATACAACATATATAATCAGTGTTGAACAAGACACTAGGCGCCCCCTAGGGGCCCGATTTTCAAAAAAAAAATTATAAAAAAAAATCAGGGTTCGGCCGCCTAGACTCGATTTTTGCAACACTGGTAATATAATGTATGCAAAGTATCAAGAGCATCACAGTGAGCAGAGTTAACAACACTGGAAAAAGAAAAATATAAGTTGTGTCCAATGTATCAATAGCATCATGTTTAATACAGTCAACTGCGCATTCAAATTGAGCAATCTGTAAAACAAAATGAATGGGTGCATTTAAAAGCTCTTGGGTAAGCATTTTGTTTTACACAAATAGATAAAAAACAATGAAGCAAAATAATACAAAATACAGAGTATAATTTATTCAAGCAAGCAAAAAAGTATAGTAACTTGCAAATGCCTACTGAATAAGTTTAGCCACTCTTTTTTCAGACAAAAAAATGGTTTCTACAGAATGTGAATCTTGACAGCATCCATGTTCAGTAAAAGGAAACACTTCAGAATCACATATTTTGCAAAAAAACCTCTACATAAAATTCCCAGGACACGTTTGCAGTATAAGATTAAGCACATATTAAGCAATATGAGGAAGGCAACAAACTATTAACAAACAACTTAAAGTCAACCTTATGGATGCCGCAGCAACAAGTTCATCACCCTTCTCCAGAATAACAGTATAGAAGCCACAATAATTCAGCCGCCTGAAATTTGATCTGCAACCAATAAAACTTACTTAAGCAGGTTGAGAAGATCTAACAGCATGTATTTGAGAATAGCTAATGTTCTAAAATACTCACCCACAGTTGTAGACAACATTGTGGATCATATTGATTTTGCTTCGCTCATCGACAATGGGCACAAAACACTCATCCATCACAGAGAATGCAACAGCTAATTTTGAATTACACTCTATTTTTAATGAGTTGTCGCTTCCTATTACATCCTGCCCAACAAAACGTCTTTGAAGAATTGTCCATGAAAATCCTTCATCCAAGTCATGCTTGACCCCAAGAAGCACCTGCAGGCCCTCAAAAAGCTATAGACCAGAAAGTTAGATGATTTCAATCTTTAGAAAGTAATATACAAATGTGTGCATAGACCCATATATATGGTCCATTCTAAAAGTTGGATTATTTTTTTAACAAATAAGAAGAAATCAAGGACAGTTCATATTAAGTTTGACTAAATCATAGAAGACGATGAAGCATAATGTTCATAGAAAATCGCTCTTGGTATCAGCATAAAAACACATACCAAAACAGTGATAATACTGCAAGCAAAGGCATCAAGGATCTCAAGTGGGAACTGAAAACACACTGAATGTATTCTTAATCTTAGCAAAAGAGGGAATAGAAGACAGTGACAGTAAGAGTTCCAAATGTGAATCACTATCTGTCCTTCATACATACAAATTTCTATATAGATGAAACATCAATCCCCCCACCACAGATGCACTAACTATACTCAATATTTTAGATTAAAACTCAAGAAAAGTGGTGGACCTGGGGTTCCAAGCCTCTAGGATGCAAGGTAAGGGGGGGGGGGACTACATAGGCCCTAAAGAGGCTTGGGTTCCAACTTGCCTAGGAACTCTTCCATCCCTACAATTACTAAACTCCTCAGAAAGTAAAGTAATTAATCAACTTCTAATATTTTAAGGGATTCCAAAACTTGAGTTTCAGACATTTGGTAACCCACCTAAACTCAATTTAGAAAGACTAACTATTCTAACAGGGTCTCGCTAGTGAATTCTTCTAGTCAACCAGCAAATCCAATATGCAGCCACCCACAACTTTATTTTATATTAGATAGAAGATAGATAAGCTTTTTTGAGCTAGCCCTGTTGCTTGGCGAATCAGTTACCTAACCAGTGTTGGACAGGGTTACCCAACACACGCTCATATTCCTGAAATTAATGCCACAATAAGCTAGAGGAACCGAGATAATTAGAACTGAACCTTGGCAACTGAGGCACCTCATTACTATGCAAATTACTCCATATACTAAATTAGCATATTCAACAGGCTAAAAATTCAAATGAAATCATGGACTTCGCCCAACTTAAACATTGCTAAGCATCAGAAACTGTAAAATGACCACGCAATTCAACGGCACTTAACAGATTAGGTGAAGCAGAAAGTACAATTTGTTATACCTTCTCACACCCCTTTCCACAAAACGACATATCCTTGGAATCCAAATTATTCTCACCCTGGTTACAAGCAACATGGACTGCAAAAGTACAAATAGAAAATTACAAGGTTAGGTTCACATTATCAAATTGTAAATGGAAGTAAATTTTTTTAAAACAGTCAGGTACTTACATCTTTCCTCACACAAATGGCACATGGATAATTCAGGGACAGTCATGTGGTCATCAACATGACAGGATTTTCCAGCAACAGTCCCACAGAATTTGCATGAACAATATACACATCGCCAATTCCCAGAAGGTAAATTCTGCAGCATGTTGCCAAAATCAGTAATAGATTTCATTTGAAAAAGTAAGAGTTCAAGGGATTTAAGAACTGCAATTAAATGTGTGCATAAAATGGATGGTATCTTGTGTTCGGCATGATGCCATCTTTACTTTTTTGCTGAGATGCAGTGCCATGGAGTCAATGCCACCTTTCACATACAAGTCTTTACTTTTTATAACAGTACAGTTAAAAATGAACCCTAGATAGCTTTCAACCCAAAATCTAAGTCTCAATGGCATCAAACTTAAGTAATCAAAGATGAATTATGCAATATGTAGCCCAATAATATTTTTTTTTAAATCCTACTTTAAAATAAAAACTTCAAATAATCCAAAACTATCTGTGGGAAGACAAGAGAACAGAAAGGAAAATTCGGGATCTACTGTATCCTTACTTGAATATTTAAGCAACTTTGATGGAATGTTGATGGGCAACCATCACAACAGATCAAGTCACCACCATCTCCACAGATGTTGCATGTATCATCATTTGGGTCATTGGCATCCACATTCACAGGATGGAAATCAATATTTTCAGATTTTTCCTGTTTGCTCCATGAGTCTGCTAAGCATTGTAAAAGAGAACGCCCTGAGGCTAGGCATATATGTTCAAGTGGCTGACCTAATGTACTTCCTGCATGAGACTCAAAATCTAAAAGTGTAAATGTTTGATCACAGCAGCCACAGCAAATTCCATCACCAGTAATCTTTCCCTCAAGCATTACTTTTGTCCTCCTAGCATTCATGTACTGCACTTGTGCATTGGATTGGATTGTTCCAAAATCAATCATCCATGAGAGAAGACTTCGCTTTCCATCATACAACACAAATCCATCACCATCTTGATCAGACATTTCCCCAGAACTACGGGCCAACAAAGCATATCGCTTTCTATTACGTCCATCTTTTTTTGATCTTGACCTTCCCCTGTTTGATGCCTTCATTGAAAGATCATCATCACGTCTATGTGCATTGGCTTTGGTTTTTTTCCTTAGAAATTTGTCTTTGAATTTGGGATTAGCATTTAATTTTTCTTTGCATTTTTGGCGACGTATAACCTTGTCACTGTACGAAGAATGCTCCTTGATGTTCTTTTTCTTGTCACTTTCACTTCCACTCTGCTTTTTAAACTTCTTTATTTTATTTCGTCTAGTTCTGAACAGTGTTCCAAGTACCTCTTCTGGGATGACAGCAAATGCAGAGAGGGTCTTATCATCTGCATCTCCATTTTCAACTTTCTCTTTGAGTTTCCTATAGGCCAAAGTGCATGACCAATGTGTTTTTCCTTCACAATCCACATAAACTGCATCACTGTATTCCTTGCTTTGCCGGGGTCTATATTCCACAGTCCATCCTGCCTTCTTTAGAATATCCACTATTTGATCTCTAACTGCTTGCTGTTGTCCCCTACGACCCTTATCCCCTTCTTTAGATTTCAAGGACTTCTTATCCTCTTTATTTTCATCATTGACAAGCTGTAGCTCCGCACTTTCCACTATTTGATCTCTAACTGCTTGCTGTTGTACCGTACGACCCTTATCCCCTTCTTTCGATTTCAAGGACTTCTTATCCTCTTTATTTTCATCATTGACAAGCTGTAGCTCCGCACTTTCCAATTGTGACTTGGAAAACTTAGATCTCTTAATTACATTTCCAGCCTTTTTATGCCTAACATTTTCCTTGGACTCAATTACTCTATCTTTCTGGCAAACAACTATTTCAGAAGTACCATCTTTGCTAGGCATCTTAGGGGGCCTTCCACGACGACGCTTCACCTTTTTCAGGTCCTTACTGATTGGTGGAGCAAGTACATCATTTCTGGGGATCTTGGGAGGCCGACCACGACGACCCTTCACTTTTTTCCTACCCCTACCATATGGTGGAGAAATTTCAGTATTCTTAGCCATAAATGGTTTTTCTGATTGATCAACCTCTTGCATTTGAGTTTCCTTTTTTACTTCCAAAGCAGCAACACCCAAATTCTCTCCACTAAGCTGAGGCCCTGCTTGACTTATACCAATAACCCTGGACCTCAACACCCTTCCAACATTTCCAGTACTGCCGGGCGAAGGTAAATGGTTGTCTTTCTTTCTTTTGACTTCACCATCGTGACATTGAGAATTTTCAATGTTTTTTCTTTTCCTCCCTCTTCGGCTCTTTTGGACCACATGCCCACATTCATTAGAATCACCATGCAAATTGGAACCCTCAACAGTCACTATGCCTACATCTTTTCCATCATCTTCTGATTTAACACATCTCTGGACAACTTCAGTTTCCTGTAAGGTGATTGTTTCTTCCTTAACACAGACCAAGGGCAATCCCCCATCATCCAAATTACCTTCACTGGCTGTATCATCGCCTATAGGTCCCCCGGGCTTCTTTATATTTGGATCATCCGGACAAACAGCAGCATTAGCATCTACATCACATTGCATCACTTCTGGCTCTTCAACACACAAAGTGGCAGCCAACCCTGCCCCATGATCAGCATCAGCATTTACTCGGCATCCATCACCACCACCCACACTTTCCCACTCTTCAACCTTATTTCCCAGGGAATGAACATCACACTTCCGCTGAGAATCATGGTCAGCTGTGATCACAGTATCATCCGCTTCCTCAATGGGCTCCACATTCAAATCCAACTCCACTCTCCCTTCCTTACAAAAATCACTGGATCTTAGCCCCTCATCCATCTCGTAAACTCAACAACCTAAAATCAAGGAAACAGAAAAATAAATAAATAACTGAATAAGCTCAAAAACACCCGAATTATCCACCACTGAGATTATTCAATGGCTAACTTACATGCACACATAGGAAAATAAAAATGGCAAAAAAAACACCAGAAATCCCCCGATAAAATGATCGGAAAAATCACAGGAGCTGATAAAAAGCCGGCGAACAAAATCTGTAAGGGGAAAAACAAAAACAAAAACAAAAACAAAAAACAAGTATAACTCTCACCGATTGAGGCAAAATCCGAAATCTTAGTAGCAGCAGATACATACACGAAGCTGTACGTACAGGTCGCAGTAGAATGGAAGAAACTGAAACGACTGGTATGGAATTTTGGGGTTCTAGAGAGAGAAATCAAAGCGAGGGTTTTAGAGAGAGAGAGTGGGGAGGGGAGAGATCGAGGAAGAAAGAGAGGAAGCAAGAAAATTGGCAATGTCTGTTGGGAGAAGGGGGGGAAATGACTATTTTGGCACGCAGATTTTGTATTCGTTGGGGATTCGGATTCCCACAAGGCGTAGGCATAGTTGGAATTTCAGTGGGAATGGGATTTAAGATTTTCAGCTAATATCGTATTTTCCCTCCATCGCGTGCCCCTCGAAATTTCATATGAAAAATCAAATTTTTGTCGGAATGCTCCCTTCCGGAATTTGGGTTGACTTGTTTTCACTAACGTCTCAATATTGTAGTGATTATATATCATTTGTTCGATCAAATTTTATTACTCAATTCATATTTTATGTGTACCGTTTAATTAACAAGGATATTTAAAATTATTTATAATTCAAATTTTTAAAATATTAAGCTTAGTTTTTTATAGAATGGAGAATTTGCATGGGACATTTTGAATTGAGTTGCGTAATAAATGAGATCAGAAGTACGTACAGTGGCGGGGATGCAATACTCAACGAAGGCAACTTAAGCAGTCGGCTGGAATAGAGCGTCAACGTCGTCTAGCTCAGTCGCAGTTGGATGGGAAGGAGAGCAGTCAGTCAAGTAATGGGATAGCAGGATGAGTTGTTTACACAGTCATTCGAGCGAATAAGGGTTCCAAGCAGACCGTCTGGTAATTGGCTGGGATCGGGGAGAAGAGGTCAGTCGGGCATGCGAAAGAGTGAGTCGTTCGGGCAACCGAGCGATCGGTCGGCAACCAAGCGAGAACTACCGGCAGTCGGAGGGGGGTGGCAGAGTGATGATGGGCAAGTACTCAGTTTGATGGGCAAGCATGCATGGAGTCGTCTGAACAAGGTGTCGAGTGCCAAAAGGAGTCGCGGGGAGGAAGCACACGTGAGCGACTAGGTGAAGCAGTCTGTCGAAGGGTGGATCGATCGAGTCCTAATAGGACTCGGACTAATAATACAGAAGATGCGATGGAATCTATAGGCGATTTTAGGAGCGGATCTCGTGGGGACGGCAAGATACACGGAGTCAATAAGGAAAGAAGATCAATTAGGTTTAGGAAAAGAAATAAGTTATACGGAGTATTTATGAAGGAGATCAAATGTATTTATGACAGGGAAGATTTGCCTATTTTAGACCTGTACATTCTTGTCTAAATAGGCATATGTACACCTTGAAAAAGGTTAAGCTTTATACATGCACACAATAGAAGTATAAATCATTGTTTTTCTGATCACCGTCTTCTATTTTTCGGTTGTGTTGGCTTGCCGCTTGACTAATCTTGTGGTCAATAAAACCAACGGTATTAAATATAAAGTACTATATAATGTGATGACACCTCTGTAAGCTTTTCAAATTGGCGGTCACAAGATCGAATCCCGGTGTGTGGCGTTGATTATGTGTTGAAAAAACTGAGAACATATACTACCTTGATAAGAGACCAAAATTCAAAACTCGATAGCGAACATTATAGGTGAGTTATCGTGATTTACATCATCTCACATACTCTTTTAGACCGGGGTGTTGGAAATTCAACCTTTTGAAAGAATAAGAATCAAGTGTTTCAAAAAAAATAGTATTAAAATATAAAATTTATATATTTAGAAATTATATTAAAAAAATACTATTAAGTAAACATAAAAATAAAATAACAATAAAAGAAGTAAAGACAATTAGTAAAGAGTTAATACCCAAAATAGTCCCTCGACTATGTCGTAATTACCAATTTGGTCCTCGACTATCATTCTTACCCAATTAAGTCCTCAACTATACAATTTTTATCCAATTTAGTCCTTTGTCAATTTGACTGTTTGTTGACTGTCAAAAGTGGAAATAAAGTTGTAATTTTACAAGTTTTCTCCTTCCTCCTCATTTAGCAGCGCCAAACCATGTAGCAATAAGCTCCGGTTGGGTTCTAAACCTGTCAGTATCAAAGTAGTGGTTATGCATCGGATAGTCCATGAATTTGATTTCCAACGATTTTTTGACGATCGAAATCTGATCGGAGTGTATTGCTGCATGGTTTGGCGCTGCTAAATGGAGAGGAAGGAGAAATCTTATAAAATTATAATTTTATCCCGACTTTTGACAGTCAACAAACAGTCAAATTAATACAGAGAACTAAATTGGGTAAGAATTGTATAGTTGAGGACTAAATTGGGTAAGAATTGTATAGTTGAGGACTTAATTGAGTAAAAGTTACATAGTTGAGGACTTAATTGGGTAAGAATGGTAATTGAGGACCAAATTGATAATTATGGCATAGTCAATGGACCATCTTGGGTATTAACTCATTAGTAAATTTAACTAATAAATAATATTAGGACTATGTGGTCTAATGGTACCTGGGTTGGACTTCCATTTGAAAGGTTGTGAGTTCGAGCCTCAGTAGAGGTGTTTCTACATTGTAGTAGAGCTAGTAGCATTCTAAAATAATAAATAGAACATATAAAATAAGACAAAGGAATACTTGTTTTCTTTTATAATTTAGGCAAAAAAAAAAAAAAAAAAAACACACACACACACAAAGTTTAGAAAACTTCTAGAGTGTCTTCTTGATTGTTAAAGTAGCAGTACGGTAGTACCTAGTACATTCCATAATACTTGCACATTTTGTACCACCCACTACAGCTGCAAATGTATACCACAAATAATACAGCACTAATGTTGATTGATCAACATTTTAATTTTTCTTTTATAATTGTATTAAGACAAACATTAAATGAATGTGATATTTCTTTTTTTTAATTATTGGTCTACTCTTTTTTAAAATTTGAAAAACTCATATAAATTGGAGGGTGTTTTGGGGGAAGGATTTTCCTTTCCCAAAACGCCATCCCAACATGCTGTGTGTGGTACTTTAGCCGCTGCTCCAAACCGTTGAGTTACCAAACATGATTTTTGGCGTTTTGATTAAAGTCAAAATGTTAAAATGGTGAATTCGACAAAATTTGGACGGATTCGCCATTAACCAAACAAGGCCTATATTATATGTACTTTTTTTTTTTTTTATCAAGATGAGGGTTAAACCCATACACAAGTATATATACTAGTTCCTCTCAACAAAATGCCCATGAGGTCCCCAAGCGGTATTTTTCAATCTCTCATGGAATCTATGTAAACTCATTTCATCTACTATCTTGGTGGGTAACTGATGGAATTAATTAGACCGGGGGTCCGACTTAACTAACCCGAATAAGAATACGGATAATAAATAAGTAGTACGAACGTTATAGCAAAGGCCGTGAGACCGTAGATTGTATTAAATGCCGTAGAATTGGCTATTACAATAGTATTTCAGGACAGAGTATGTAAGAACAGTAGATCGTGTCTTAACGAGACAAGGTGGGGGGTTTTTATACAACCCCGACCCCTAACCGCCACCCCCTAAGGCGGGGGGTGGTTAGATCCGGGTTGACCGCACCCGGTCTCGCGACCGGGCAGCGCTGCGGAGGCCAGGCCGAGCCCGTCATGGGCTCGGGCCGAGCCCATGTGGAGGTCGGCCCGGCCTCCAACGTGGCTCGTGCGAGGGCCACGTGGCGAGGCCTCGGCCGGGGCGGGTACGTGGCGCCGCCCTAGGACCCGTTCTTGCTTTGCGCCCTCGGGTCGGTTTGGGTCGATTCCTAATATATCCGTCATCAGTCCCCCACTCTCCGAGCTGCGAGTAATCGTCAGTGAAGGAGAGTAGATGCTTCGGCCGACCTCCCCAAAATGTCGACCCCGAGGTGTCCGCGTTCCAGCGCTATAGGTGCCGTCCAAGTGCACTTCTTGTGATAATGATAAAAAAACTCCATCCGGAACATGGCTCCTTCATCTGCTAGGACACATACACAGTAGAGTCCTCTTAGGTTTTGATTGAAGTCATGGAGTAGTACATGTACATAGATGGCCATAGCCATGAAATTGGTTGAGAGAAAGAGTATGTATAAGAGATGTTTATATTTGAGACTGACGTCCCATTTCCTCTGTCTTCCTGAGCCTTTATATAATATTATTTGGGCAGTTGTAACTTCCCGTAGTCTTTCCTCTTTTCTTGCCATGATGACCTCTTCTCTTTGACTAATATTATTATTATTATTATTATAAAATAATAATAATAATAATAATATGGTAATATGGCATGCATATTATATTATTCCATCAGTAACCATATTTGCAAGAGCATCAGTAGCATAGTTATAGTCTCGATAAACATGATCATATATGTATCATTAGAAGAAAAATGTTACCGTTAGAAATTGAGGTGTCTTGAATATTTATTGCATAAAGAGAATATAACTACATTAAAGTACAAGTTTTATTGCAGCACTTACAAATTTATATAATTTTCTATAAATTTATTACACACATTTAACAATATTATTTGACAATGTATAGATGGTATTCGCATTATTATTATTACATTATATTAAAAACAAATGAAGCAACATTAAATGACTTTGATAACTCATTTTTATTTTGTATGAAGTATTTATCAACTGTCATTTAAAATAAAAAAATATGTTATGTCATATATGCATATTGACACGGGTATAGAGTCCGGCGCAGTGCATAGCGCCCGTGTGGCGTCCCGAGGCCCCTCATGCCCCGCGGACTAGCCTTACCCACATACACACCACACTGGTTTCACCCTGTCATGGGCTCATCAGGGAAGCGGCAACAGCTCCCAACCAGTTGTGCCTTTCTATCGCATCAGGTCCCCTTCATAGTAAGTCCAAGACTAGCGACAGGCTCCCCAAACTTAACCGGGTCGGTGTGCCTAACTCGGCCAGACCGTAGCGTCTAAGTGCCTTTCTATCGCATCAGGTCCCCTTCATAGTTAAGTCCAAGACTAGCGACAGGCTCCCCAAACTTAATCGGGTCGGTGTGCCTAACTCGGCCAGACCTTAGCGTCTAAGGCAGAACAACCCTTAACGCTATTGACGCCCCCTTCACCCGCATGGTATTGCTAACCAGTTGGCCGTTTCCACACTCTTTAGGGTCTTCGCACGGTCACGGAAAAACAGTCCGTGACAATATGCACTCTTTCAAAATAAATTATACCGAATTGCTCGAACTTTACATT